GCGTCGCCACGTAAACACGCGTCGGGTGCGCCTACGTATGAAAACGACGAACGCGCTACACATGTTGGGTATCGCCGCGCACGCTGGAGTGAGAGAAATAATTCTAGGGCCAGTATTTTGGGGTATCTCTAAATTGATGACCTGTGGGGGCTTTTAAAGCGTCTTCTGTGGACTTTTTTTTGGGGTACTGCAGTTTTTTGCCGCAATTTGTAAACTGGGCATGTTGGGTATCGTTTTACTCGTTGTAACCTCATCTTTTATATTTCATTTAAAAAATTGGTATTTTGTTGTGTTTTGGGGCATTTAATTAAATTTATCACTAAATTTTGGGGTTTAATAAGGAGTTGCGCTAATATTGCGCAACATAAAAATTTACAACTACCACCATTATATTGTATAGGGTCTTGGCATTCAGAAAATATATAATGTGTGGGGGTTTTAAGTAATTTTCAGGCCTAAAATGTGGAATATAACATGGGTGCAAAAAATGGAAAAAAAAAGGCCTCAGTCATTAAGGGGTTAAAGCTCCTAAGTCGGCAAAGATTTATCTGTTGCACCCGACTTCATCTCTGGGATGAACCTCCTTCCCTCCTTTTGACAAGTTTTTTGCTCCCCCAGGTGCTCATTGCCATTGTACCTGGTAGGATTAGGAGTGAGGATCTGACTATGTCCCACCCTAACCCTTACTATTCTAGTGGCAGACGTTCCTGTCTTAAAGGATCCAACTAATAATTTCTTGGAAATCCTCTCTGGAACACCTTGGTGAATCCTGCCCTAAACCCATTCAGGCTGTGACTTCTATTTTGTGATACCATTGCTGATTGTTGAAAATCCCTTGAGAGAAAGCCTCACCGCTGCTGTTGATCCCTTGATTACAAAACGCATGGAGCAAATGGCTGTAACTTAAACTTACATTTCAGTTGTGAGGGTCTGCTGAATGCATCCTGGCTTATCTCTTGCATGGATATCCTGTCAGTACACATGTGTAGGGCACTTTTGTTAAAGTACTGGACTGCAGAACCCATGTGTAAGAAACATTTGATCTGCATGGTCTTCAAGGGACGACATCTCTTTGGAGCAACTCTTAATACTATTATCAAGGATGCAACTGGTGGCAAGAGCACCCATATTCCTTAGTTGAAGAAGCCTAAGGAACTGACTGCAAAGTCTTCTCTCTTTATTGGTCAAGAAACATACCTTTTATTTGTCCACTCCAGCACATCCACATCAAGTTCCCCCCCACCCAAGGAGAGGGCATTTTGTTAATCTTTGTGGACACTTGTACTGCTTGCATCTCAGACAATTGGGGTGCAGGATGTAGGATGCCAGGGATTCAACTGGATTTTCACTCCATATCCCCTCCTGTTTCTCACCTCCAGTCCTCCTGTGTCACGACATGGATTAGCAGATCTCCATCAAGCCCTCTTGAGTCTTCTGGTCCTAGGTGTCATTGCCCACCTTTCTGTGGCAGAATAATTTCAAGGATTTTGCTCTGTTAGCCATTCCCAAAATCAAAGGGGGTAACTGCCCCTTCTTGCATCTCGAGGCTCTGAATGTCTTCATCCAAGCCCAGACATTCTGCATGAAATCCACCAGATCTGTAATTGCCTCCCTTTACCAGGTAGACTTTCTGGTTTCTGTGGCCATCAAGGACACATACCTGCATGTACCTATCATTTGTAGTATATGGGTCTAGACCCTGGACACAGCTCATCCTAGAATGTTTCTTCCACTCGAGAAACTTCAAACACTCCAATCTCAGATTCACTCTCTACAGTCCAGGATTTGTCAAACTCTTTGCTTTTACGTAAGAAGCTTGGAGCTAATGGTAGCCGTTTCAAGGCAGTCTCATTTACCAAGTTTCACTCCAGTACTCTACAACGCACCAATCTGTCATCGTGGGACAAACTGATAAAGCCCCTTGAGAGACCGATTTTTTTATTAAGCACCAATGCCCAGGTTATCCTTGGCTTGGTGGCTTACAAAATCCAGCTCTGGAATTGGGATAGTTTTTCCTTCCCATCACTTTGAAAGATTCTCAGGATGCATGCCAGCCTGTTGAGCTGGGAAGGAGTACTACACACCCTGTCAGTGCAGAGGACTTGGTCATTGGAGCAATCTCTTCTCCTAATCCTCCTGGAAATGCGGGCAATTTGGCTGTCTCTGCGACATTGGACCATTCCGCTAGAGGGTTGTCGAATCTGAATTCAGCTGGACAACGTGACACCTATGGTGTAAACCAATTATCGGGGAGGAATCATAAGTCTTGCTGAGGGTTCCATCCTTTCCTGAAAGGGTTAATCCTACAAATCAGTTAAAGCTTATTGGGCTATTCAGGCATGAAGCAACTGTTTCGTTGAATTTCATAGCTGCCGCCTGGTTTTCTATTCATGTGTTTTTACCAGGTGGACGTTGTGGCCATATCTGATGCCAGCCTCCAGTGTAAGGTAGCTCTTTTAAACTGCACAAAGTCCCCAGTTTTCAATTTTCTAGGGCCTCTTACCATTTCTTTTCTGTGTTGCCCCACCACTCAGTTGGGCAGCTTTTTGATGTCCTGAAGGTAAGGTGGAACTCTTACTGTGTCCCTCAGTGGATGAGAAAATACAAGAATCTTATTTTCGAACTGTAACATTATTTCCTTGCAGGCCATTGAGGAACGCAGGTCCCACCCCTCTGTGTTTTATGATTATGCTCTTGGTACTCCTTTGCGTACAAAGCTGAGGCATGCTGGTAGTAGCATGGGCTATCCTGAGCAGTCCTACAGTGTTTTTCTTTAAAAAAATGAGTGTGCAGCGCTATAGGTGCTTCATATACAACGCATATATTGATTGTGCTGAATCTCTCCAGTGATAAGTGTGATCCTTTTCCAGGAATATTAAAAAGGTGTAAAGAAGATTTTAAACAAATAAGCAAAAAGTATGTGGACAAACTGCAATCAATGCTGAGTGATCTCAGTATCACCATATAACAATACTCTTAAACTATTTAGGGTGAAACAATTAAGTGCATCATAAATGAAAAATTCACTGTGTAGCTGTGTATCAGCTAAAATATAATATAATCATGGTCAAAAATCGGTTATAATCTATCAAACGAAAGTTCAAATGTGATAATAGTGCATAAAGTCCAAAGTAAAATTCACTGTGTAGCAGCGTATCAGCTAAAATATAATCAAATCATGATCAATAATCAATACAGCATCCGCAAGGCTGTATTTGGCGGATGCCTTGCGGATGCTGTATTTGGCGTTGTGATGTGACCGGCCGGTCTTTGCTGTTTTAACTAAGTTTTCTATGTTTTTTTTAAATAAATGTGTATACTTGCCACACCATGAGGAGTTTTCTTTTATGATCCCACCAATGCTCGAGTGACTGGAGACTGCCGGATAGAATACCTTGAATGTGGACGTATTTGATCCATCTACACTGCTTATATTCCACAACAGTGGGGTGAGTGCGCACCCCAGAGGGGGATTCTTGGACACTTGCACAATTGTTTTGACTTAGTCTATAGTGCAGCAGCTCTCACACCCGATCCTTCCACAAGCGCAGATTTCACATTTTCTATAGTGTTTTTCTTTCCCAGTGTCCAATTCTCCTGTAATGGGCAGTATAATACAGTGAGTGCAAAAATCCTATTTTCTTTTTGGTTTTGGATAAATTGGGGGAGGGTTAGGCCCTCTGTCAAGGGTTTATTGCTGCCTGCGTCCACACTGAGAAGATTAATTCTTCTATTTGTACCAATGACTATTGTTATAAAGAATGAAAGTGAGGGGAAATCCAAAGTTTGAGTTGTTTCCAGAACAAGAGGTGGGGGAAATCTTCCAGTGGGGGTATCTGTTCATGGGAGATTCCCCTCATTTTGGGAGATTGCCTCTAATTTCCTATTGTTTCTCTGGAATAGGAAGTGAATGGAAATTTCCCTAATGGTACACAGACCGCAAAAACCAACCTGAGGGATTTAACCCTTCTCTGCTCTATTCAAAACTTAAAAAAAAAAAAAGGTTTTGATTTATGAAAAGCTGCAATGTCTTAAAGGAGAACTATGGGGTCAGTGTTTTTCCCCATAGTTCTCCTTAGGGTAACGGGAGGACACAAACTAGCGTTCCTCCCGTCACCCTAAGCTCAGTATACCGCGAGCTACAGCTCACGGTATACTGAGACGCCGCACCTGCAGCGGATCCCGACTCGGAAGACGGGATCCGCCCAGCTGCATGAGTGACAGCTGGCTCTGCCTATCTAGAGGCAGAGCCAGCTGTACCCGCCCCCTCCCCCATCCGTTCCGCCAGTCAGCGCTGGCAGATCGGAGCGGGGAGAGGGGAATCCAGCCCCTCGCCCTGTCACGGCAGAGAGCCGTGACAGGATCGAGAGGTGAGGGAACCCGGTATGTGTTCTCTCACCTCCCGATCTACTGAGCCGACCTGTGACAGTCTCATTGTCACAGGTCGGCTTAGAACTATGAGGTGAGTGGAAATCACTTATCTCATAGTTCTCCTTTTTAAGGAGGTTGAAACTGCTAAAAAGCTAATGACTCCAGGCAAGGTAGGAGCTAGAACTAGGGGAATAAGGTGAACCCCCTTTTCTTAAAGAACACTTCTAAATGCTGTGTACTCAGAAGTGAGTAACATAAAAAATGATATATTATATTAGAGGACTTAAGTGACAGAAAAACAATTATGGATATACTGTACATTGTAAATCTGCTTCTGTCATTACGTATTTGAATACATATTGCAAATGGCAAATTCCATTAGCTGCCATGGTTTTGAGCTTTAATTGCTTTCCATTCATTTCAGGCTGAAGGTTTGGTACCCTCTTCAGCAGCTATGAAACAGTTCAAAGACAGCTACACATCATTTGCAACAGCGGTGGATTGCACAAGGCACCAGCTACCCATAAATAATATCCATGTTGTTGGCACGCGACAAAGATATCTAGGTATTGAAATTGAATATGGGTTGATTGAGAAATGTCCTGGGGTTTTTTTTTTTTTTTTTGCTGCTTTTTGTTTTGTTTGTGTGTGTGTTCATGATAACTGTTGTTCACTAATTTTTACTGCCTGCTTCCTTGACCTTACTGAAAATTAAAGTTCAAAAGTGCGGAAAAAAAAATCCTGTTGATCCTGGTAGGGTATACATGATACAAATATTTTGTCTGGTCCCTGATGAACTGGTTGAAAATTGCACAGTGGGTGCCACTGTCGGCACCCTTCCGCCTGGCATCCCTCAATCAGCTGCTAGCTCTTTTTGGGCATTCTGTCAAAATACAATGCAAGCAGCAGGGGATTCGTCCATCAACGCTCGTAAGCATTGATTTAAAGGAGAAGCTATGGGGTTAAGGCTTTTCCCCATAGTTCTCCATAGGGTAACGGGAGGACACAAACTAGCGTCCTCCTGTCAGCCTAAGCTCAGTATACTGCGAGCAACAGCTCGCGGTATACTGAGACGTCACACACAGTCTCATTGTCACAGGTCGGCTAGAACTATGAGGTGAGTGAAAAGCACTCGCCTCATAGTTCTCCTTTAAGGAATCCTTTTAGTTCTCCTTCCGCCGATCCCCAGGGCTACGGTAGTCCCAATATTCAAAAAGGGGGCAAGGTGCCAACCTGGGAACTATAGGCCGGTCAGTCTAACATCGGTAGTTTGTAAAATGCTAGAGGGCATAATAAAGGATTATCTGGTAGAATTTGTTCAGGAAAACGGGATAGTTAATGACAATCAGCATGGGTTCAGGAAAGACCGTTCCTGCCTAACTAACTTGCTAACTTTTTATGAGGGGGTAAGTAGAGATATGGACGGAGGTAAGCCGGTGGATGTG